TCTCCCCCCACCACCCCCATTGGCCCCCTCCCCCACCAGCCCAGCTCTTATATCAGGCGGCTTCCCCGGATGAGGAGGCACTGGTCACAGCGGCCCGGAACTTTGGCTACGTGTTCCTGTCACGCACCCAGGACACCATCACGCTGATGGAGCTGGGGGTGGAGCGGGTCTACCAGGTCCTGGCCATGATGGACTTCAACAGCGTGCGCAAGCGGATGTCAGTGCTGGGTGAGCGCCTGTGGCCTGTGCCCTGGACCCCAGGGGTGGCTGGAAGGGGAGTGTGTGTGGGCAGCTGAGCCTCTCCTCCCATAGTCCGAAACCCGGAGGGCTTCATCTGCCTCTACACCAAGGGTGCTGACACAGTCATCTTGGAACGTTTGCACAAGAAATATGGAGTGGAGGTTACCACGGAGGAGGCCTTGGCCGTGAGTCTCTGCAGGAGGGAAGGCGCATGCGCATGTGTGCATGTATGCCTGCATGAGTGCCTGCGTGCATGTGTGTGTGTGTACACGGAGGGGGAAGAACAGTGTGCAGAGAAATGGCTGCAGGCACCTGGAGCAGCCATGTACAGTTGGGCAGGTTGTGCACTGCACAAAGCAACCCCCCCCCCCCCCCCCCCCCCTTTTGCCTGCATGAGTGCCTGCGTGCATGTGTGTGTGTGTACACGGAGGGGGAAGAACAGTGTGCAGAGAAATGGCTGCAGGCACCTGGAGCAGCCATGTACAGTTGGGCAGGTTGTGCACTGCACAAAGCAACCCCCCCCCCCCCCAGCCTCCTCCTTTGTTCACACACACATGGGCTGGGATTAGGCTGAACTCCAAAGTGCACCTGTCCAGAAGAGATGTCTTTTTCTAATTTCACACAAGGACACTCTGTGGTTGGGCTTTGGCCCTGGACACTGCCCTGCTCTCCCAGCCAGGCCTGGGTTCCAGAACACATTCAATCCTCCCTGTTCCAAATCTTTCCTCTCTGTGGGTGAAGCCCAAACTCCTCAGCTCAGCATCTGGGGCTGTCAGTTTCTGTCTCCTGCTGGCCTCTCTAGCTGGGTCTCTCCTTGTCCCCCACCCCAAAGGCTCCCCAAGACCCCGGTTTCTGACTTGCAGTTTCCCTCGTGCTCAGGTGATATGCGGGATCTTTGCACATCCTATTCCCTCTGCTTGGAATGCCTTCCCAATGCCTTTGTCATTCAGAATCTTTAGGTCCCCAAGGCTCAGCCACAGGGTCCCCACCTTCAGAGGACCTTTCATCCCCCTTCCCCCTAGCATGGAGCCATCACCATCATCAGGATCTCTTGCTCTGGCCCAGCCCTGACCCTACAGGGCTAGTGGTGTCTGTGTCCAGCCTGGAGGCTCCCCACAGGTTTTGCTAGGGCCCCAGCGACACCTAGCACAAGGGCCAGCAGGGGGTGTATATGGGAAGAATGTCCTGTGTCCCTCCCTTTGGGGGGCCCCCCCAGGGTGCCCTGCTCTGCCAGGGTATGAGGGGCCAGGTGTCTGGTGTCTGACCCAGAACCAGGTAAGCACCATAAGAATAGTGATTCGTAGCCCGGGAGCTCAGCGGGAAGGCTTGGGCCAACCACCCCATGGAACTGATGGGTAAACTGAGGCCCAAGTAAGAGCAAGGCCTGTCTGATGCTCCTGGTGCCCATGAAGACCCTCTCTGGTGTCCAAGCCCAACCTCTTGGGCCCACCCCTTGTCAACATAAAGTGAGACCTGGGGTAGGGTGGTGGGGGAAGCCATGGGCACCTTCCCTGGAGAACACCTGGCTCCTGGGCCACCCTTAGGGTGAGTGTGCTCTGGGCCTGCCCGAGGGGCCTGAGACAGAGCCTGGAAGGGTCGTTTCTGTTCCCTCCCCATTCCCAAAGGCCTCAGCCCTGGGCCCAGCCCTTAAATAATGAGGCAGAGAGAGAGGAACAGAGATTCCCAAGCCAAGGGGTCAGAGGGAGGGGACCGGGTCTGGGGAAGCCAAGTGGGGAGGGTCTGGTGAGTGAGCTGCATGGAGGGTCTTGAGGAATAGTTAGAATTTGCCATGCAAAGCTTAGGGAGGGTGTTTCTGGTGGGGGGTGGGGAACAGCCCAGGCAAAGGTCTGGAAGCAAAACAGAGGTGGGCATGTCTGGAGAAACTGAGGCAGAGCAGGTATGGAGCAAGGGCAGCCCACCATCCCACCTCGGTTTTCCAAGCCCCCTCTGGCTGCCGTGGGGTCAGGGGAAAGCATCGGTGGGGGAGGTGGGGTGGTGACAGCTCCCGCCCACGCGGCCCCCAGGCCTTTGCACAGGAGACGCTGCGGACACTGTGCCTGGCCTACAAGGAGGTGGACGAGGACGTGTACCAGGAGTGGCGCCAGCGGCACCAGGAGGCCTCCATCCTGCTGCAGAATCGGGCGCAGGCCCTGCACCAGGTGTACAACGAGATGGAGCAGAACCTCAAGGTGGGCAGACACGGGGGGCCGGAGGGTGGGCTCCCGTTTCCAACTGCCCCCTGCCAGGGAGCTGGGTCCCGGCTCAGTCTCTTCCCTGTCCTCCTTCCCTGCCCGTCTGCCACCAGCTGCTGGGAGTCACAGCCATCGAGGACAGACTCCAGGACGGGGTCCCCGACACCATCAAGTGTCTCAAGAAGGGGAATATCAAAGTGTGGGTGCTCACGGGGGACAAGCAGGGTAGGTCCCAGGGCGGCTCTGGGCTTGTATAACTTGCCTGAAGTCCCACCGTCGCCTGTCCCATTTGTCTGGGTTAAGCATTGCCCTCCTTGCTGTCCACGGGAAAGGGAGAAACAGAGTGGTTAAAAGTGCCGCGAGGCTCAGGGCACCTCCCGTGGGCCAGGAGCTGTGCTCGAGCTCGGTGGGAGTTTCGTGCTCGCAGTGGCTCTACGAGGTGGGGCCATCACTACTACTGTGTGATTGACGGGTGCAGCGGGGTTCAGAGAGCTTGGGGCACCTGCCGGAGGTTGTCCAGCCACTTAAGGGCAAAGCTGGACTTGGAATCTCAGCTTCTGTGACCCTGGAGTCCTAACTCTGCTCCACCACGGAGCACAGCCCTACGTGTGGATTCTCTGGGACCCCGCCAGGCATAAAATGACAATTTACAGACTATATAAAAACAAATATACAGGCTGAATCATACTCACTTTTTTTCCCATTCTGATTTTTTTTTTTTTTTTTGTCTTTTTTGTGACCGGTAAGGAGATTGCAACCCTTGGCTTGGTGTTGCCCGCACCGCGCTCAGCCAGTGAGCACACCGGTCATCCCTATATAGGATCCAAACCCGCGGCGGGAGCGTCACTGCGCTCCCAGCGCCACGCTCTCCCGAGTGCGCCACGGGGCCAGCCCTCCCATTCTGATTTTAAAAGAGATTAAGACATTTTTGTGGGTTCCTAGAAGTATCGTGGGCCCTACGCATGACCTGTCTAGCAATCCTGGGCTCAAACTCACGTCCCTCCTGCAAGATTAGCCCCAGCCAGCCAAGGAGAAGCTTTTTTGCTCAGAACTGCAACCAAAGTCTCAGGGCTGGCTCTCATTGGCTGGCTTGGGTTACATACCCTTCTCTGGACCAATCGCCATGGGCAGGGGGTGGGGCATGCTGCTGTGATTGGTTGGGTCTGGGTCTGTGTGGCGGGGTGGGCTTGGCCCCCAGGCAGAGCATGCCCACCCAGCGGGCTGCAGAGGCGCTGAGCCCGGCTGGTTTGCAGAGACGGCGGTGAACATCGGCTTTGCCTGCGAGCTGCTGTCGGAGAACATGCTCATTCTGGAGGAGAAGGAGATAGTGTAAGACGTGGGCACGGGGATGTGGTGGTGGGCGAGAACGCGGGTGCCTGGCTGACCCCCGCCGGGTGTCTGCAGCCGGATCCTGGAGGCCTACTGGGAGGGCAAGAACGACCTGCTGACCAGAAAGGGCTGCCTGAAGTTCATGCCGCACACCAAGTTGGCCATGGTCATTAACGGGGACTTCCTGGTCAGTGCCAGCTCAGGGTGGATGGCAGGGCCCCTGGTACAGAGGAGGGTCCTGGGAGGAGCGGTGGGCTGGGGCTGGGGCTGGTGGCCCCCAGAGGGGAGGGAGGCTGCTTGGAAAGCCGAGGCTGGAGGGCCTCGAATGAAAACCCCAAGAGATGAGACTCAGGGGACCCAGCAAGGGAGAGACACGGTCAAGGCCGGCCTGGGGGTGAGACAGAAGGCCGGCTGGGGGGCGCAGATGGAGGGGACAGGCAGAGTGATGGAGCCCACCTCCCTGCCGGCCAGGACCAGCTGCTGCTGACCTTGCGCAACGAGCCGCGGGCCCTGGTCCACAATGTGAACGTGGAGGAGTCCCGACAGGAGCCCGGTCACAGCAGGAGGGACTTCCTTCAGGCCAGGCGCATTTCCCTGATGTGGAGGAACTTTGGGGCCCAGTTGGGCCCAACGCAGCCCAAGACCTCCAACACCCACGAGAGCCCTGAGGTGCGGCGGGAGCGGGCCTTCGTGGACCTGGCCTCCAGGTGCCAGGCTGTCATCTGCTGCCGGGTGACACCCAAGCAGAAGGCCTTGGTTGTGGCACTGGTCAAGAAATACCAGCAAGTGGTGACCCTAGCCGTCGGGGACGGTGCCAACGACGTGAACATGATCAAGAGTGGGTGGCGGGCAGCGGGCTGGGGGAGGCCTGGGGCGGTGGGCGGCGGGCGGCTGGGGACCGGCCAACCAGCTGTGTGTGTCCTGCAGCTGCAGACATCGGCGTGGGACTGACGGGGCAGGAGGGCACGCAGGCAGCGCAGAACAGCGACTACACGCTGGCACAGTTCTGCTTCCTGCAGCAGCTGCTGCTGGTGCATGGCCGCTGGTCCTACGTGCGGGTCTGCAAGTTCCTGCGGTACTTCATCTACAAGACGCTGGCCAGCATGCTGGCCCAGATCTGGTTCGCTTTCTACAGTGGCTTCAGCGCCCAGGTACGCCAGCCCACCCGCGGCTGCCCCGCTGCAGGGAGCATGGGTGGGAGTGGGGTGCCGTGTCCCTCCCATGGCTGTCGGGAGCAGCAGTCGGCAGACTCACAGCTCTGGGGTCCTCACTGGGCAGGGCTCGCCTGAGGTCGCCACGTTGGCAGATCAGAGCTTTGAAGCAGAGACAGGAGCTGCAAATGTACCTCCTCTGGAGGATCGTTGGAGGGAACGAGAGCTTGAACCCCAGAGAAGATCTGATTGTGGGGGCTGGGTCCTGACGTCAAGACTCCCAGTGGTACCATGACTAAGACTAGACGTGCATAGAGCAGTGATTTTTCCTGCGTGTGGGGAAATTGTCTGGAAATAGACGTCTTTGAGAGGGAGTGAGCCCCCTGTCACCAACACCCAGGCACTTGAGAGGGAGCTTTACAGAAGCACCTTCAGTAAGTGTATATTGCTTGCTTGTTTGACTTATTTCTAGGTATTTTATTCTTTTAGATGGTGGCTGGCCAGTACCAGGAAGCGAACCCTTCACCTGGGTGTTCACAGGCTGTGCTCTACCCAGCTCAGCTCAGCGGCCGGCCCTGGAATTGTTTCCTTATTTCCCCTTTTGGGTGGTTTACTGCGGATGTTCAGAAACACAGCTGAGTTTTTGCGTGTTGATCTTGTACCTCGCAGCTTTTCTGAATCTGTTTGTTGTCTGTAGGAGCTTTCCTGTGGATCCTTTGGGATTTTCTGCACACAGGGTCACGTCATCTGCAAATAGAGACGGTTTTGCTTCTTCCTTTCCAATATGGGTGCCTCTTATTTCTTTTTCTTTCCTAATTGCTCCAGCGAGGACTTTCAGGACAGTGTTGAAGAGCAAGCAGTGAAAGGGGACATCTCCATCTTGTTCCCGGATTGGGGCCAGGTGGAGGGAAGCTTCTATTCTTTATGCATTTATTAATTGGAATGCTTCTGCAGGAGGAACGTTTTCTTCTCCCCCACCTATTTATTCCATTATTTATTTATAGCAGTATAAGCTCATGGATCTTTTTTTCGTTTTAGCAGGGGAATGGCCGGTCTGGGGATCCAAACCCTTGACCTTGGTGTTATCAGCACCACGTTCTGCCCAGTGAGCCACCAGCCAGCCCCAAGCTCACGGATATTTATTTTGTTTTGTATTTCTGTTGTTCCAGTGGTCCTAGATTTGTCCTTGTGGCATGAGCCAGCTGTTCTCTGGGCACATCCTTACTTTCTGGCACCCACAAGAGGTTCCGGTTAGACCTGAGAGCTCGTGTGCTCAGTGCTACTGGGATACACCTTTTCAGTAGACAGGGCTCGACACATATTCGCGCACGTGTGGACACGCATCTGTTTGCACCGATGTGTCGTGTACCTGCCCACCTGTCGTCTGTCTCTATAGCTGCCTCTCTATATCCTGCGTCTAGTCTGTCTTTACCATTTGTCGTCTCTCTGCATACGTATCATCTATGTCCACCTCTCTATCCGTCTTTATGTCTATCCAAACCTATCTCTGTGCCTACCCCTCTACAGTTGTATCTCTATGTCCGCCTCTCTGTGTATTGAAAGCCGTGAGTTCACACCGATGCCTGAGTCCAGTTCCACAGCACAAGGCTCCGCTCGGCTTTCCCTGTTTGCTCACCTGTAACTCCTTCCTCCGAGAGTGAGAACTTGACTCTTGTTAGCTCTGCACCGTCTTTACTTAGTTGCTCAATCCTAGAATTCACATAAAGTGCTCATGGAATTGAGATGCATATATTTTTGTTTTATTTTATTTTATTTATTATTTTTTTAAAAAAGATGACCGGTAAGGGGATCTCAACCCTTGACTTGGTGTTGTCAGCACCACGCTCTCCCAAGTGAGCAAACCGGCCATCCCTATATGGGATCCGAACCCGTGGCCTTGGTGTTGTCAGCACCGCACTCTCCCGAGTGAGCCACGGGCCGGCCCGAGATGCATCTATCTTTAGCTGGACTGGATTCGCGCCTTGGGAGGGGGAGTTGGGCCAGTTGTCTATGGGTCTCTCCCAGTGGTGCACCCAGTGGTGATACCCGATATCTAAAACGATCTAAATCTAGAATGATCTACAAACGCATCCTCTCTAGCATTCGATTCAAACAAAAACTCAGAGGTGCTGTTTTAAAAGAATCAGACCCTGTTTTTCGCTGTCTGCCTTTCATCTCCGGCCTTTCTAAAGCTTCACTTAACCCAGCCCTGGTCTTAGCCCAGCCTTGATTATAACGAGACTTGCTGGCTCACCTGGAATCCTTTCCCGCCGGCCAGCTTGGCTCGTCGGGTGAAGGGTGTCGCTGGCCACCGGGCACCTGACTCGGTCCCCCTTCCTCTCTCCTGCCCCCCGGCCCCGGCCCGATGCAGCCCCTGTACGAAGGCTGGTTCCTGGCGCTCTTCAACCTGCTGTACTCCACCCTCCCGGTTCTCTACATCGGGCTCTTCGAGCAGGTGAGCAGCGGGGCCTGGTGCCTGCTCCCCAGTTGCCCCTCCTGTCTCTGCTCACCCTCTCCACCCTGGGGGCGCGGGGCAGGCGGAGCTGGGAGACAATTAGGCCCCGGGGTGGGGTTCGGGGGGTTACGGTTCAGCACCTCTCACCCCACCCACGACCCTCGAACTGCCCCCACCAGAGCTCGATCTGATCCTGGAGTCAGTAGCAGGAGTCCCGTTACCCAGCTCGTCCCCTCTGCGGGAGGCCCCCGTACCCTGTGTCCCGGCTTCTCTGTCTGCCCATCTGTGCAATGAGAACAGACCAGGAGAGACGATTCTGCTGCGTTTGTCTTACTCCCAGCCCTGAGGGGCCCTGGCTAAGTGATCCAAAGCAGCAGTGTCCCGTAGAACATTCCAGATGATGGAAATGTCCCACACCTCCGCTGTCCAGTAGAGAAGCCACCAGCCACATGGAGTGTGGCTGGTGTGACTGAGGAACCAGATTTTACGTTTCATTTCATGTTTGAAAAAAAAAAAAATTGGATTCCTGGACTGGCCAGCTGCACAAAAAAATTTATTTTTAATTGTGGCAACACACAAGTAACATAAAATTCACCCTCTCAACCATTCTCAAGCGCACAGACTAGTAGCGCCGAGTGCATTTGTAACATCCAGCAACCAATCTCCAGAACTCTTGTTTTGATTTGTTCTTTTGTGGCTGGCCAGCGTGGGGATCCGAACCCCTGACCTTGGTGTTATAAAGCTGTGCTCCAACAAACTGAGCTAAAAAGCCAGCCCCCCAGAACTCTCTTTATTCCCTTTTATTTTAATTCACTTAAACTCAGATGGCAAGTGGGCATCGCGTGCACTGCCCCCACGGGTCCAGGCCCCTGCTGGGTCCCCACACCCCCCATGCCAAAAGCCTGCCGTTCCCTGTCCTCAGGACGTGAGCGCCACACAGAGTCTGGAGATGCCAGAGCTGTACATGGCTGGGCAGAAAGACGAGCTATTCAACTACTGGGTCTTCCTCCAAGCCATTGCCCACGGCACGGTCACCTCCTTGGTCAACTTCTTCGTGCCACTGTGGGTCAGCCACGACACGGCGGGGCCTTCCACCTTCAGCGACTACCAGTCCTTTGCGGTGGTCGTGGGCCTGTCGGGGCTGCTGTCCGTCACCATGGAGGTAGGCAGGGCCTTCTGCCCGGTCCCCAACCCCAAGGTGCCTTGGAGGCGGGCCATCGGGTGGCCTTCCTGGACCCCGGGGGGCTCAGCGTCCTGGCCCGGCCTCCTCCTGACTGCTGACCCCTCCCTCTCTGTCCAGGTCATCCTGATCATCAAGTACTGGACCGTCCTGTGTGGGGTGACCATCCTCTTCGGCTTCTGTGCCTATTTCGTCATGAGTTTTGCCTCCCAGAGTTACTTGTTCTACAAAATCTCCCCCCAGAACTTCCCGTTTCTGTGTGAGCCCCCAAGCGGGCAGGCCCTGGGGACTGGGGGTCATGCTGTGGGTGCCCCTGGTGTGGCCCTGAGGGCTGCTGTGTGGGTGTCAGGCCAATCACAATAGTCATCCAACACAGCGTCCTGAGGAAGGGGCTCTTCTTTGGAATTGGCACAAAGATGCCGCACAGTCTGGGGATGTCCCCGGGGGGGGGGCGGGGAGGGCACCAGGCAGGTTCTGCCGTGACCCTCACCCCGTCCCCAGATGCTGACCGCAACGTACTGTCCCACCCCTCCATCCTGCTGGTGGTCCTGTTGAACGTGTCTCTGAACACCTTGCCCGCGCTGGCCGTCCGCATCGTCCACCGATCCCTCAAGAAGCCACGCCCCAAGGTGAGACGGGGCTGGGGTTGGGGTTCCCCCCAAACATTCCCGGGACCCCATCAGCCAGAGCCTGGGCTGGGAGCAGGGACTCGGTGTCTTGGCCCCTCTCCGCTGTGTGGGACACTGGGCCAGGAAAGAGGGTGGGTGTGCAGACCCAGGCACATGCCCAGGGTGCACCATGGAGGCCTGATTCCCCGGGGGGACCCACACTTCCTGGGACAGAGCAGCAGCACCCTGGGTTCAAATGCTGACACCGTCAGATTTCCACCACAAATTAACTAGGGCTCGGGGTTGCAGTGATGGAAACAACCTTGCAATGGCTTAGGCGAAAGGGGGAACTTAGAAACACCCCATATGTGCATCCATGGACAGACGGATCAACACGCCGTGGTCCGTCCACACTGGAATGTTACTCAACCACGAAAAGGAGGGACATCCTGACACGTGCTACACCGTGGATGGACCTTGAGGACACTGTGCTCAGTGACATAAGCCAGTCACACAGGGACAAACACTGTGGGATCCCACTCACAGGAGGTCCTAGAGTCGTCAGATCCACAGAGACAGAAAGTAGAACGGGGGGTGCCAGGGGCTGGGGAGGGGGTTGGGGAGTGAGAGTTTCATGGGGACAGAGCTTCAGTTTGGGAAGACGAGAAAGTTCTGGAGAGGACGGTGGTGACGGCTGCATGGCCACGTGAATGTGCTTAATGCCACTGAGCTGTGCACTTTAACGTGGTTAATATGGTGAATTCTATGTTAAGGATATTTTACCAAAATAAAAAAGGCGGCTTCCTAGCTCACATAACCAGAACATGGAAGGACGGTTGCAGCTGGGGTGGGCCCCAGAACTGGCCGGAAGGGTGGCCCAGGACATGACCACGGACCTACCACCTTCCACCACACGGGCTGGACACATGACTTGCAGGCTCACCACTGGCTGGTCCAGAGTTAGGTCCCAGGGAAGGACTCTGATTGGCTGGTCCTGGAGAGAGTTCCAGAGAGGACGCTAGTTGGCTCAACTTAGGTAGGAAAGTGCCTGGCCCATCAGTGGGGGCCAAGAGCTCTGGGTGACCCCCGCAGAGGGGCAGGCGGCCCGAGACCCGCGAGCGTGTGGGAGCCTGGTGACTGCTCTCTCCCTTTGCAATACAGGAGGAAGAGGAGGCCCCGGGTGAGGAAGTGGCGGCGGAGCCCGTGCCTCACTTCCACCGGGAGTCGCGCCGCCGGCGCTCCAGCTACGCCTTCTCCCACCACGAGGGCTACGCGCACCTCATCACTCAGGGCACCATCCTGCGAAAGTCCCCGGAGACCAGTGATGACGACGGGGTGTCTGATGCCCCAGTCCCGTCTGAGGAAGAGCTCCCCTCCAGCCGGAAGGCCTCACTCTGGCACCCCAGGAGCCTGTCGCTGGGGGGGAAGAAGAGGCGCCAGCACCGGGCCAAGGGGTCCTCTGAGGAGGCGCAGCCCCCCGCCACGGGGGGCTCCGTCATGTCTGAGCACGGGCCATCCACTCCTTATTTAAAAAACCAAACCGCAGTCACCAATAAGTTGCCCACCAGCTTGAGTAGTCTATATGAGTCTTTCCAGGAGGAGTCATCCGTGACACTGGAGAGGCCACCCTCGTCTGAACAGAGGCCACCTTCTCCTGAGAGGCTGCTGTCCACCAAGGAGAGGTCCCCTTCTCTCCAGGAGATTCCACCATCATGCACAGAAAGCCGAGCATCGTCTTCCGAGAGCCATCCATAACTCTTGGGAACCGGCCCTGGTCTTCTGAGCTGCCGCAGTCCTCAGAGGAAAAGCTGTCATGCTGGAGGGCCTCAGCACTGTTCTGGAAGAGCGGGCCATACATCTGGGAGAAGCAGCCCCACCCCTCCAAGGAGGGGACCGTACCACTTCCCAGCAAGCCTCACACGTCCGTGGTGGAGACCGCGCTGCCAAGTACAGCAGACCCATCCCTGAACCAGCAGCCGGTGGCGGTGGAGCCCTGGCCTGCAGAGAGGCAGCCGTCGCCCGTGGAGTGGCTGCCAGCGCCCACCCAGGACCAATCGTTACCTTCCTCCAAAGGCCAGAGCTCCACATCCTTTCCTTTTCCTAATAAACCAGGGTCCGTCTGACCCCAGGGCTTCTCTACGCCTGCTCTTCTCTGGCACGTCTTTTTGCAACGTCACACAGAACATTCCTTCCTGGTTTTCAGAGTCAAAACGCTGCCCTCTAGTGACCTGCTGGGAGATTTGCAGGAAAAGCTTGCTTGCTTCCCACCTTCACCCTGGAGTGCACAGTGTGGGTGAAGCTTCATTGCTCTCAAAAGGGAGAAGGGTATGAGTGGACTCTGCATCACAGCCTGGGCCCCTGTCCCGCCGCCTGCCTGCTGGCCCCTCCCAGGGAAGGTTCCAGGCTCTAACTCTGGCACCACCTAGTCTCTCCCTCCACCAGGCTGCCCAGGTTTCTTCCCCTCCAGTAAACAAACCTCCTTTCACTTTAGACTCCAGGAAGCTACGGGCAGTGATGTCTCAGAAGCAGGTCCCAACAAGATCTGCACCTTGGGGCTTGGTTGACTCGAAGGTGCCAAGCTTTTCTCTCTGATTCTTAACTATTTTCTGTGAAGGTGGAACAGTGTGGGGCCAGGAGCTCAGAGAGTGCCAGGGGCCAGAGAAGAGGGCAGCTTCACAGCAGAAAGGTTCAAGCTGTGGGGTGAGCTGGAGGACAGAGTCCCCCTTCCCTCCAACCCCTTCTTCCCTCCCCATCTTTGTGGCGGGTGAGCCCCTTTCCTCCCCCTCCTGCACCCGTCCCCAGTCGGCCAACACACACGCCCAGGTGAATGACTAGAAAATAATTTATTGAAGAAAAACAAAACAACAAACCCAGCACAGCAATGATTAACAATGATGATTTTTTTTTTTTTAACTTTTAAGCCTGTCACCTGAGGGTAAGGGCAGAGAGGACTTCTGTTCCCTCCATCACTGGGGGAGACAGGGCTTCAGATGGTCCAAACAGCGTCTCCCCAGAAAGCAGCCCTAGTTTCCAGTCTTCATTAAAAATGCTCAGGGCCACATGGCTCCCCGGCCCTCCTGCAACCCCTGGCTGAGATAATCCCCCAAAAACCAGCCCTTGGGGTGTCTGATAGGGCCACAGGGAGGAGCCCCAGAAGTCTGATGGCCTGGTTTTAATTAAACCACTTTGGGCAGAGACTGACAAATGGCCCAAGTTCCAGTTGGGGCGGGAGCAGGGTGGGCAGGGTCTAGAGCATCCCCCACCACTGCCATCATTTCTGGTTGTTTAGTCCCTCGGCCCCAGGCCCAGCCCCCCTCCTCGGGACCTGTCCTGGAATGGGCTGTCCCTCCTCTTCTCTGCAGTCCTGTCTCTGCATCCTTTGGGCTTCCCAGGATGGAAGCACAGGGAACCCCAAGCCAGCCTGTCTGCCTCTCTTTCCACCTCCAGGGGCTGTTGGGGGTTGCTCGGAGACATGGCCTCATGGCCAAAGTGGAGTCACAGGTGCAGAGACATTGTCCCAGAGCTCCCTTTCCTGATTTTGGGGGGCCCCCTCTGTTCTCTAGGGTCCCAAAGTGGGCCGGGAGGGAGGGCTCTCTACAGGGGAGCAATCCCCCACCCCAGGCCAGACAGAAAGGTGGACTCGTGTCCAGCCCAGGGCTAAGGAGGCTGAGGGTGTCTGGGTGGAGGGTGTGTGTGTGCTGGTGCCCACTAGGGGGGTCTTGGGAAGGCCCTTCAGATCTTGGGAGTTGCGGCACACCCCAGCCCCCCACCACCCCAGGCAACAAGACTTGAATTGGCTGATTGTCTGTCTCCTCTCAACAAGACACTTGGGAATTGGTGCTAAAGTGAAACCAACTGGATTGGTGTGGGGTGGGGCTGGGGGTGGGAGGCCCAAGATGGTGATGACACCCATGTTACCCAAGAACCAGGAATGGGGGGCCCAGTGTCCCCTGCCCGGCTGGGGCAGGCAGGTGGCCTCTGGGTGCCAGGAAGTGAAGGAGACCCCCAGGCCCTGCTTGCAGTGGGCTCCCCACTTCCCCGGGGTCTCATCCACCTGCCGCCCGCTGGACACAGTCCCTTAGAAAGGGGGAAAGAAACAGCAGCGAAAGAACCACCAAACAGCACCAACTCAGGTACGAAACACACGATGCAAATGGAATCCCACGCCCCCCACCCCGTCCACTTATACATTAGCGTCAAGAAAGGAGTACATTATTCATGCAGCAAATCAAATTCCATTTTGTCTTTTTTTTTTCGTTTTTCTTCCTTTTTTTTTTTCTTAAATTACATTTGGACACAGAACACATAGAATAATAAATACTCTTATAAGACATGACTCCAAAAAACAAGAAACAGAACAAGGCAGAACAGAAAGGTGCACCCCTCTCCCTCCCTCTCTCTCTCTCTCTCCCTCCCTCTCTCTCTCTCTCTCTCTCCCTCTCTCTCTCTCTCTCTCTTTCCTAAAGGACTCGTTTAAATAAGAAATCTGTAAATGCCGCTGGTCCTTCCTTGCTCTCTCGCTCAGTCTCACGCTCACGCTCCCGCGACCTTCTGCCACCACCCAACTTCCAGCTTTCGCTGCTGGGACATTCAATACGTCTCCCACGGAACTCGTCAAAGAAACGACATGCCATCGTCTGCAAAATTATAATTTAACAGTATAAAGCTTCAAGTCACGTATTCCAAAAACTAGCTAAGGATTTTTTTTTTTAAATCACATAAACTATACATTAAATATTTTGAGGTATTTCAGAGAAAATTGTCAAAGGCTCGAAGGAAGTGTGCTGGAGGTGTCATTCCCTGTGTGGAGAATGGTCTTTGGTATCTGACGACCAGCTGGGTATCGGGGAGGGGCAAGGGGACCCCGCGGCAGGTTGGGGTAGGAGCCTACTGGGGGGCTGGCCGGGCTTGGGGTGCGTGGACGGGTACAGGAGCTGCGGTGTGTGTGCGTGTGCGCGCGCGTGTGTGCACGTACATGCGTGTGTGTCTGTGTGTGCGTGTGTGTTAGGAGGATGTTTGAAAAGGATCCAGGTTTTAGTGAGAGGTGGGAGGAGGGGAGTGTGTTCTCCCAGCACTGAGCTCCCAGCACCGAGAGACACCACAGAAAGAAGAGGAACCCACGTATGTCTGCACGTGTGTCTGTGTCTGTGTGTCTGCTTGTGTGTGTGTGTGTCTGCATGTGTGTCTGTGCATGTGTGTGTCTCTGTGTCTACATGTGTGTATCTGTCTATGTGTGTGTGTTTCTGTGTCTGCCTATGTGTGTCTGCGTGTGTGTCTGCGTCTGTCTGCATGCGTGTGTGTCTTCATGCGTGTCTCTGTGTGTGTCTGTTTGCATGTGTGTCTGCATGCCTGTGTCTGCGTGTGTCTCTGTGTCTGCATGTGTGTGTGTCTGCATGCCTGTCTGCGTGTGTCTGCATGTCTGTCTGCCTGTGTGTCTGTCTGCCTGTGTGTGCCTGCGTGTCTCTGTGTCTGCCTGCGTGTCTACGTGAGTGTGCATGTGTGTGTCTGTGCATGTCTCTGTGTGTCTTCATGTCTGTGTGTGTTTGGGGGGAGGGGTTGGTTGCTGAGCAGGAACTGGGGTCTCTTTTAGGATTTTGCCCCAACACCCGAAGGTTCTAGAAGCATCACTCAGATGGGAGAACAGCGAGTGATAGCACAAGAGAACCCCCCCATCTTTGGTTCAGTGACAAGGCACTCGCCGCCTCCCTGTGCTGTCTCTCTGTCTCTCATTCTCTCGCTCTCTGGCGGGGCAGGGGTGGCACCGGCGGGCAGGGAATCCCAGCGTCCAGCACAAGTCCTTGGGGAGAATCTTTGGTATCAGCGTGATTTTTCCAATCACAGACGTGACCGTCTGAGTGAGGTAGCCTTTACGNTTTCACTCGAAATGTATTTTGCATTCTCAAGGGGGGAGGGTGGGGTGGCCCCTCCCTGGGAGGCAGCCGACAAGGGGTCCCTTCCGGCCTCCGATCTCGACCCCGCGGGAGGTGGGCTGGGGGGGTGCAGCTGCCGCCAGTCCTGCAGGTGACCCGGACCAGACGGGACCCGCGGGGGCGGCCGGGCCGTGCTCCTCTTCACTTCCGACCCCTCCCCCTTGTCAATCTTTTAAATTTTTTTTGGCAAAAAACGGAGCAAGCAGATTCCACGTTGTTCAGTCTCTTCTTTCTCTCCTTGGGGACACACGTGACAAACACAGGTTCCCCCTGTCGCCCGCCTTCAGCCCCAGCTCAGCGCCACCGCGGGGGCCGGCAGGTGGGGCGGTGGGTCCCAGCGGGTTCCAGCCGGACAGCGACCGCACGGTCCCCGCACGGCGACGCCGGGAGGGGCGCGCCCCGGTCCCCGTCTCTGCAGAACCTGGACGTCGCCTTGTTTCCCGGCCTGCGTCTTTCCCTGCGTGCCCTTCTTCAAGGTGCCTAAAGGTAAAGTGAACTCAGCCGGGGGGGAGCCGGGGCGGGGGGGCGTCTGCAGTTGACCCGCCTGTCGCGCCGGAGCTGGCCGTCCCCTCCGCCTGGGCTGGCCGCGCACGCCCCTCCCCAGACTTTAAGGCAGGCGCTT